TCCCTACAAAAACCCCAAACCTGAGAGTTAGGTGTGAGACCCCTTGTAAAATTTGCCCATGTCCTCTCCTCCATTCCTTTCCTTCTGTATCCTGAATTATTGTTGCTACCTGTGTAGCTCAGGCCCGACTGTGTGCTGCATTGCCCAAGCAGCAACGAAGGAGATGAGCAGGGGAGCTTGGCTCAGGGGGCACGGGAGGAGGGGGAACTAGAGGTACTGCACCTGGGAGCGTCACAGGGCAGATGCTGCTGCTGTTGTGGGAATGAAGGGTCTTTGGACACAAACCTGGAGTGAACCAGGCCAGCTTACTGCTGCTGATTTTTGGAGGGTAAGGATCCTTTTTTCCAAGGCAGTAAGCCTGGCTTTCCTGTAGCAACAGCTGGAATATTGAATTCAGTGATACCCGAAACATGAAATATTTTATCCTTAAAAATGGCAAGCACGAACTGTAGAATAATTTTGAGTAATTTTTTTTTTTTCCTTAGAGGCCTAGCTGTATGCATGTTAGAGCTGTTTAAATATTTCAAATTTATTAAACTTCTTCCCCTCTTGATGTCCTAATGTTAGCTAATTCTTTGGTAATCAGAGCTAATACTTAAATGTTTTAAGTCAAAACAAAGCTTATTCTTCTATGAAGCTAGCTTCTACTCTCCTTTTGGTAATAGTTCCAAAAAACACTAATAAGGTCTACTTTACTGAAAATAAATGTTTAATATTTTGCTATTGTACTTATCTCTTCAACAGACCTCTCATTTTCCTTTTCCTCCTTTCTCCACTCATACCATAGGGGCTTCAATGGATGGAGAAGGCAAGCCACGGCCATCTCTCTATTCTTTGCAAACTTTCCAAGAACTGGAGGTAGAGGACTGTGAGAAAATGAGCAACATGGGAACTCTGAATTCTTCAATGCTCCACCGGAGCACAGAGTCCTTGAAAAGTCTGAGCTCAGAGTTGTGTCAGGAAAAGGTCTTACCAGAGGAGAAGCCAGTGCACATGCCGGTACTGAGAAGGTCTAAATCCCAGTCTAGACCACAGCAAGTGAAGTTTTCAGATGATGTTATTGATAATGGAAGTTATGAGAATGTTGAAATACGTCAGCCTCCAATGAGTGAAAGGACTCGTAGGCGTGTTTACCATTTTGAAGAGCGTGGAAATCGGCCTTCTCATCATCGTAGAAGAAGTAGGAAGTCTCGTTCAGATAACGCACTTAACTTGGCTGCGGAAAGAAGATGCTCTCCAAGAGAGAGATTTCGTTATTACTCCCCTCAGGATCACGAAAAATTTATTCAAAGTAGAAGCTCACGTGAGATTCGGGCATATATTCAAAATGCGGAGCTGTATGGACAATATGCCCATACTAGGTCTGATTATGCACTGCGGAACCAGGTGGTTGATAAATTTTTTGGATTGTATGGTGAGGAAGATGACTCCTGGTGTTCAACTTCATCCTCATCATCTGATTCTGAAGAGGAAGGATATTTCCTAGGACAGCCAATTCCACAGCCACGATCACTCAGATATCCATACTACACAGATGACCTTTCTGGTCCAACTACTGCGTTATCTAGCTCTCAGTTTGGGCAAAGGACAACCAAATCAAAGAAGAAGAGGGGACACAAAGGAAAAAATTGCATCATTTCTTAATTTGTTTTAACAGTTGGGAAGACCAGTCAACTCTGTAGCTACAGTTTGAACCACATCTTTTTATATTAATAATTGTACTTAGGCAAGTTGCTAAGGTTCTTAATGCTTTGCCAGTGTAAATTATAACCCTGCGAGAGTTTACATTGTACAAGTAACATTCAGAAATGTCACTATGCCAAATGATGATCTGCTCAGATATTGCTAGGTTTACATATTAGGTTTCAGCTGTCAAAATACTGTTACTGCAGTTCTCGATACAGACTTGTAGACATTTTATTTTATGCTCGTTATTCACCTATGTTGAATTATCTGAGGGAGGGGATTCAACAGAAATCAATAAATGAGGTCATCAGTCCTGTGCTGTAGCTGTATCCACGCAGGGTGATCTTTGACTTTTTCCTCTTATCGCCAAGAAAAAGAAGGCTCTATACTGTGCCCTTTCTTCATTGATAAAGCTCACTCTTCCTCCTTCAAGTTTTTTTCTACAAAAACTGGATTTTTTTTAATTTGGGAAAATGCTCCTTTTCTAAAGAGTCCACTATTAAGGAGGCAAGAATCAGAACTGAAATGCTTGAGGCATTGATACACCCTAAGGCAGCAGGAAACAGTTTATACATTTAACTTTCATGTTTTTCCCTCCACATGTGGTTTTTGGGTTGGTGTTTTTTTTGTGGTTTGGGGTTTTTTTTGTTTGTTTTTTTTTTTTTTAATTCCGTCCCTCTGTAAGGTTGGGTTTGGTTGTTTTTTTTGGGGGGGGGGGGGGGGGGTCTTGTGCCTGTTTAAAGGAAGTCATTAATTCAGCTGCTGGAATTGGATTTAGCTGCCAATGAGTAGTGATGTTTTTTACGCCGTGCCCCCCACCCCTCAGCAGGGAGAGAGAGAGGTACAACTGCTGGAGTCCTTTGCTCAGGCACGTAACCCCATTTAAGTCAATGAATCTACTTACGTAACAAATACTTTCATAAGGGCTTAAAGGATTAGGCTCCAGAATCATGTCTTTTCAAATGCATTATCCAGGTTTTTAAATGTATTAGCTGCAATTTTAAATCAAAAATCGTTGATATTTATAATGTAGTATTTCATAGGCTTAAATGTATTCATAATTTAACAGTGCAAATACTAATGTACATATTGTACAGTTAAAATTTTAAAAGCTGAATATTTTTATATCCCTGAATTTGAAGAAGTTTGTTACAATATCAAACTAGATTTGTTAGGGGTTTAACAGCAGCATTATGGATGAAATATTGCTTGTATTTTAGTCAGGGGTTTTAAGTTGAAAAAGTACTGAAAAATGTTTAGTGCAAAACAGCTTAATTTTGTCTACTAGGTATTAAAAGCTCTGTATGCATGGTGGGGCTATGTAAATACTCTCTAAACTATGGCCCTCTTAATCTTGCAAGTGTTATTTATGGGTCAAGCAAAATGTAAACTATATAAATGTAAAAGCCACACAAGCCTGGAATATATCAGTACAACAAATATGCAACTCCTGTGGATGTGGATTTTTTTTTTTTTTAATTATTATTATTGTTCCTTTCCCAAAAATAGTTTCTGGAGTACACAGAGGAGGAGAGATGCTGGGTGGTTCTAGACAGCCATCTGGCAAAAAATTATAAAGTAAGGGGGTAATCTCAAAAGTTGCCTTGAACTCGTATGTGGAGCAGGAGCTATTTTAAGTTATAATAAACTTCCAATGTTTTAAATAAAGGGCGGAAATTTATTACTTGAATTAACAGTGGCACCCACCAATTAAGATAATGCTAAAGCCATTGGCTTTCTGACCACCTGAAGAAAGGTAATTAATGAAATAACAGATGCTTACCAAAAAAGCCTGGCAAATTGAACTAAGGTTGTCATTCTGGAGGATGGAGAAGTTTTGGAATAAAAGCGGCTAGAAGGGGTGGGATGGACACATGGGTACTGGCTTACACCAAAGAAAAAGAAGCTATTGCTAAGGTTAAATCCAACTAGCAGTTACTTGCTCGTATTTTTCAGGGTAAAATAAGCAAAAGATCCTTTACTCCCAGAGGTGGTATTCACCATATAAGTCACTTTTCTAGTACAAACAAGCCTTGTGTACATGAAAGCTGATCAAAGTGGTATCGTGCTCCATGGCTCGGGCCAATGGGCGGCTCGTGGGAGGCTTCCAGCTGGCGGGCTGCCGGCGTGGCGGCTTAGGCACGATGTGCTTTCCTAGCAGCCAAGCGCCTGTTGTGCTTCAGTGTATTACAACAGGACTTAGGGACTCGAGGAGAGACGCTAACTTGCTCAAAACAGTGATGGGGGCCTTCCGTTCTCACCTGCATTTCCAAATGTGGGGAAGCAGGAGCCTCAGAAATGAAATGCTCGCTCTGCTTGCTGCTGCTGTGCCCTTATGGAGCAAATCACTCTCATGGAGAAACGTCTCCACCAGTTCTGATCTTACACCATCTCCTGAGGCACAGCATGTACTCAGAGTACATGTACTCTCCCAAAGTGCAATGTCTTTCGGAGTATCAGATGATAATCGTTCTCAACAGATTGTTAGTTGCTGCTTAGGATTTTTTTAATTTAAAAAACCCCAAATCAGTTGACACAGATCTCAGTAAATGACACACTCTAATGTCATTTACTACCTTCAGAGTTAACTTTCACATTGCCTGCCTCTAAACCTCCAAAGAAATGAGTTGAAAGATGTCTCTCTTCCCCATGCCCTTATACAAAACCCAAGGACAACTTAGGGCTACTGGTGTCATTGCTGGGGCACTGTGTCCCCTCTGCTCCTGCAGGGGCTCTGGGGACTTCAAAAGGAGGGATGGAAGTAACGACGCTCCCCCCCTCCCACCACCGCCGTTTATATTGTTATTTTTCAGCTGGAGCTCTGGCAGAGGATGGAGGACTTTCCTTCTCCTCCATTTTACCCCGAAAACGACTGGGAGGCACGTGTGTCCGTGCAAGGGGGTAAGAAACTTCTGGTACGTAGTGCGGCTCTCCGCTACGCGGCAGCGATTCGCCCAGCCCGCGGCAGGAGCTGTGACCGGTTCTGCCCCGCCGGCGGCCGAGCAGGGCAGGCGGGCTTTGCAGAGCGCGCTGCCTGGGGCAGCCGGGCTCCGGC